TGAGTACTGGCGCCTTCTACCCTTTTTCCTCGGATGAATTCAAGTCGCTGTCTTTATTTCCAGCATCTACAGGCAATGGCCAGGATTTGGGACTTCTCCACGTTCGCTTCCCCGCTGCTGGAGGAGTCTTTCACTCTGGATGCCACTGCCGGAAGGAAATCATCTCCCGATGCCGACTCCTTCCGTTGGTCACTTGGATCAATTCACGAATGTTGACTGTTGATTAATTACCCTCCCCTGGTTAAAGTCTGCACATGTCCTTTTTTGTTGATTAACAACCCCACCCTGATTAATGTATGCACCGTGTCTTTTTAAACCTATAAAGGTATATATATATATATGTGACATTTTTAGTCTGTGTGTGTGTGTGTGTTTTGGGTTCAACATGTTTTTGTTTTTAAACTGTTGTTTTTATTACCTGTTTGTTTCCTGCATCGCTGGGATGTAATAATACTTGATTAACGTGGTGTTTGGTGTTCATTGTTAAATATATTACTTTGTTTGCTTCCTTAGTCCCTTAGTTCCTGTTGATGTTCTTTTTGATTTAATCACACCCCCCTACAAACATGTCATCCCCTACCAATAATGTCTACGATTTTTTGTGTATGTTTTGCATAGTTATGTTGATTTATAGTTATTGATTTCACTTTCAATTACTTTTGATTCCTATTGTTTTCCTTTTGAATTCCTTTTGATCTCTATCAATTACCTTTGACAGTGTGTAGTTGCTTTTTAAAACTCCCTTATGAAATCGAATGTAGAATACTACAACAAAAAAATGTGTTCCACAAAGAGGTAGCCCAGTACACTAGAACTATTGATTCCTATTGATTTCCTGTTGATTCCTTTTGATTTCCTTTTGATCTCTGATTGCCTGTTGATTCGTTTTGATTTCCTTTTGATTTCCTTTTGATTCCCTTTTGATTTCTGTTGATTCCTTTTGATTAAAGATTGAATTTCTAGAGTCAATCATTAATCAGAAGGCTGATGGATTCGACCAGGGGACGGTGAATTATTAATCTAATCAAGAGTCAACACAATATTAGGTCAGAAGTCACTAAACCAAACAAACAGTATGGGCGGGTGGGTTCAGAGTCTGCTTCAGGTTTGATGGGATAGATTGGCCAAGACTTTAGTAAAGGTCTCACTCATTTGGCTAGCTCAAAAATATAGCCCGGAATCTGAACACCTCTCGGTTCTATAGACCCAAACAAGGGAGCCTGGAACTGGTGTCGAGCCAAACCCAGATGCAGTTCTGTTTCCCTGAAACGGGACCGTTACACTCACCAAACGGGGAACTTACAATAAAAGAAGCAATAAAAACAACAAGTAATACACGGACCAAACTGGTCTGCGGCACAGCACGGCCGGCGCACCGCCGACGACGACCGCTCGCGCCTTGGAATGGCTGGCGGCCGTGGCACGGGTGACCTCGGCCTGGGGACGCTGGTTCAACACGCCATGGACGCCACCGCCGGTGTTTTCCCGCGCGCCGGTGTGACCTCGGCCTGGGGAAGATTGACATTCATACGACCAGGCGGTTGGTCGTAGGATCTAGAGCTACGTTCGCCGAGGACGTCTTTAAGTCATGGAAGTGAACCGCGGTACCCAGCAACTTCTTCCCAGAGTTCGATGGGAGAGAAGAAGCCTGTAAGTAGGTGCTGTTGGGACAGGTATTTTGGATGATGAGCTTTTGCAAACAGGTGGTTGGTGCCCCTTTACAACCCATGTCTGCTGTCATCCCCAGTCCAACCAACGGCCTTCGGGTTCCCGGGCGCCCACTTGGAAGGTGGCCACTGCGGTGGTGACCTCAAAGAGGCACCTGAAAGTCAGACGGCCACATCACGTGTCTCACACGGTTCAAACACATGGGGTACTATTTTTGAACACATGGGTGAAACATGATGAACACCTTGGGTTCATTCAGGGGGATGAAGGATTTGATCTGGGTGTATTAACCCTTTTGTTTTAGTAGGGAGACCTCCCAGGCCACGACCCCCCTGGAAGAAGGGAACTAGATCAGTCTACCCAGCCAGGGCCAGGGCTCTGTCACTAAGGAAAAGAGACACCCACATGTTGACCATCATTGGACCCTCCCAACTGGAGGGTTGATCTTTCCCGAGGCGAAGAGACTGAGGTGATGTTCCCCCACCAAATCTTCACAAGTCACAAGTCCCTGATTCTTAGTCTTGGCAACATGATGTGCTTCGGACCTCGGATGCCGGTTCTCAAGAGCGACCTCGCATCCTTCGTTCGCCATGCGGTTTGCTTCGGGGGGCCCCGGCGATCGAAGCCACTTCTGGATCGAACCATGGGGGTTCCCCCCCCCCGAAGTAAGGAGGGTCAAGGTAAAGATGGCGATGTTGTGTGTTCACAATTGTTCACATCTGTTTTTTCTTTCCCCCTCAAGCAAACTCTTGGTCTTTCAATGTGATGGCTTATATCCATGGATTGAACAGAATTTGGGATGGAGGAGAGAGGTTGAGAATGTCACTTGGGTATACTTGGGTATCTTTATGTATCTGTATAAACACAACAATTGGGCTACCTTGAGCTCTTGTTTCCAATTCTCCAGATGCTCAGTTTGACTATACTTGCCGAAAAAAGCCACACCAATGAAAGCAGGTGCCCTGCAAGGCGCTGGTACAGCATGATCCAGCCGTAGACTGTGAGTTGCCTCGACTGGAGTGACAAACGGACTCAGCTGCCTGGAAGCCCAAACAACCAGACATAAATGGATTCTTCCACAGTCCCAACCACTTGTGATGTGAAGGATCTCAATTGCTATATTGGAACCATATAATACTTATACTGTACTACTTATTTGTTTCTGGTTATTGAAGTTTGGGCTTCCAGTTGGAAATCCATTTCGGCCTTCGTCGAATCACCGTTCCGGAACTCTGCTGAACTCGTCAGGTTTTAGCCTAGTGGAACACACTGGTCAGCAGTTTGGTTTGTTCACTCGGTCAATGATTCGCAGTGGAATCTCTCTTCACAACAGAGAAAGTATAGAATATATACAATATAGAACCACATAGTTCTTGTCACTTCAAAGCCAATTTACACCATTTGACCCCAAACAAATTCACCTGGGAGTCACCCACAAAATGCCCGTGCCACACGTGCCTGGTATCCGCACCGGAGAGGCCCAGCAAGAGATACGCGGCCAAGAAGACCGAGGAGAGCACCTGGGACATGGAAGCGGCTGCACGTTTTCATCCTTTTGGCCATCGCTAGTAGGTTGTCGGAATGGAAGGCTGAGGGCTGGAAGCAGCTGGGTTCGCATCAGTTCAATGATGATGATTCAACCGTCAAGAAGGCATCTGTTTGTTCTGAAAACTCAACGACTATCTTGATTCATCTCAAAAGATCCACAGAGTCCTCTCAAACTCATCGTTCTACCAACTTCGCGGGCCAACTTGAAGGAACCTTGTTGTGGAATTGGCGGTCTTCCACGTGTTAAACTTACTGTAGATAGTGGTACGCCATGATATACTAATTAATACGTATTTATAGTTAATCTTTATAAGCTGTACATGGGTGATCATGGATGTGTATGTTAATAGGGAGACGGGAGACCCTCAACCAATGGGTAGGTTGGTCTATTTGCCTTCTTCCAAAGGGTCTTTGGGAGGTCTCCCGTTCTTTTATTTTAATGTTACACACCCACATTAAGTGAGGCCTCAACACTATCTCGGGCATGGTGTAGCCTGTAGAGGCAGGAATCCCCATTCCATTCCCTCATAGTTTCAACTTGATAGAAAGAGCTGATTAGTTTCATGTTTGAAGGTTCTCTCCGTCCTCCCTCCTTCTTCCTGCTCCTTCCTCACCCGTTCTCCGTCCTCCCCCTTCCTTCCTTACCCTCTCCGGTTGGGGCTGTTCTGGCTGCCCCCCAAAAGCGACGACAAAGCTATGGAGAGGCACTCAACATGTGTCAAAACCTATGAATTCCGACTCTTGGAAACTCACGCCTTGTCTCAAGTCTCAACTCATCGGCCACTGGGTTTCCCCAGCTTCCCAGCTTCACTCCGGGGCCCGGCACCAAAGGTGAAGTGCTTCCCTGTAAGGCCCAAGCGCCCCCCAGCTCCCAACGTCAACACCTGAAAGTCGGGCTGAAACAGCCCCGAGAGTGAGGACCCAGGACCTTGCGCAAGAGGAAACATGACGTTCCTCATGATTGAATCTAGCTCCCATAAATCTATATGACGATCTATATGATCCGATGATGTTTTCCATGGATCCACACTTGTTTTGTAATGTACTCCGAGATGGTGATATGGTGATCCAGTACTGTCCCAATAACACTCAAACCACCGAACGGCCGCCTGTTCAGAACCCCTATACTGGAACGTGATTTGATCCTCCCTGAAGTCCAAACTGAATCCTTTTGAACCTCCTCCCTGAAACTTCAGGTGTGTGTTGACTTTCCAATTACTTTTATAATATATATATATATATACACTTTGCTTTTAACCCCTGCGAAAATCCCAGTGTCAAACGATTTTGCGATTGACGAGAAAAGCGCCCTGAGAGCACAGCGGGAAAAACATGACGACGAAACGAAGGATCCTTCGGGTCCGATGCCTTTCGACCTTCGTTTTCCACCCCAAAAAGCAGCGTCTACAGTCCATCTGGGGGGCCCTGGGAAGCCCTTAGCTGTGTACCAGGCAATCTATAGCAACTCATAGCAATCCCAAGGTCTACCCGGCCCAGAAGTTAAGGCCTCGGTATCCGAAAAAAGGATATGAAGATGGCTTAGCATCGTGGTTCAGACTGGAGCCAGGCTCTAACGACCACAGTTTGCCGCATGTCAAAGGCGCTTGAGGGGACGGGAACTGATCGAGCAATCCACAACTGCTCTTGATGCCTAACCCAGACATTCCATGGCTTGCATATTGACCTACGTTGGGGCGGCTGAAAAGGGTCTAAAATACGCGGAGTCTCAGGTGTTTTTTTGCTACTTCCAAGTATTTCTAATTCCCTCGTCTTGCAAAGTGTTTGCTATATATTTGCTTTGTGACGTTCTGTCATTTCTTCGGATGCACCAGTTCGTGCGAACGTCATATGCCGAGGTCAGTCATACTGAGGTCCACCGACGGAGGCCGCCAAGTACATGCAGGCAGACAAATAACCTCGACATCTCCAGTTGGGGACACAGCAATGTACTATAGATGAATAACTCCCCACAGTCATGGACATGAATAGCTCGTCTTTGGGACAATGACCAGGGTATGAGCATGGCGGCATGGCTATATATGGCTATGACCGAAACTGTTTTGTCCTGCTCAGAACATTTTTCAAAGAGAACCCTACTTTTAACAAACATGGGGCGATTGCCTCCATCCTAGAAGCGATGGCCTCCAACCTTATAGCAAGAATTTACATGAGTGGATCAGGATCTGTCGATTTGTCGTACCCAATTTCTTCAGTCTATGTTTGCTCTCTTCTCTCTCTTTTACACATAGCGTCCATCTAAGCAATGGCCTCCAACCAATTTGCGATGGCCTCCATCCTAGAAGCGATGGCCACCAACCTAAGAGCAATGGCCTCCAACCTAATAGCGATGGCCACTGTCCTAGAAGCGACGGCGATGTTCTTTCCTCGTGGAAATGCCCTGAAATTTGTGGAAATACGCTCATCGTCAAATGTTTACTTTCTGGCACATCATGGATCGAAAAGAAGTGAGAAAACACACAATGGGACTTGTGAAGATGTTGTGCAAAAGTTAGCTTGGGGAAGTTTGGCGATGGCTGGGAGAAATGGATAGTTTCTCAGCGAAGCCAGTGCGTCTTTCATATTATTTTATCAGCTTTTTGAAGGATTTGTCATGCACAACTCCTCAACACACTTGACAAATCCTGAAGAACTAGGGTTCAAAAAGCTCCCGACCAGTCGACCAATCGATCTATCGATGTGTCGCTGCGTCTCGTCGCCGACACGACGACGGACCTGAGATGACCCGGATGCGACGAAAACAGGATATATAAGCTAGGATGTCACATATATATATATGTGTGTGTTATATATATATACATACATACAGTAGCTGGACCATCCAAGGGGTGTCTAATTGAGATCCATAAGTTGTGTGTTATAGTCCAAGTTGATGGAAATTTACCCGGAACGGTGGATTTCCGCGGCACCGCAGAACTTCTGCCACTCATCATGTCTTTAAAATGAGAAGACATTTTGTCTTGTGCACCCTGGCTGCTTTAGAATTGCCATGGAAAGAAAGATAGGCGCCAGGCTCATAGAACCAATCTCGAACTCTTTCTTTCCCCATTCGAACTGGTGGGACAAAACTAGCTGCCAGAAGCACGGCACTGCAAACCCCCGAAAAGTGACTTTGGGAGGGATTTCCACGACAGGATTTGTCAAGTGTGTAAACCCCCAGTTCTTCAGTGGTGTACCATGTTGTACCTATGTATCTCTCCCTCAGAACTGGCTTTGATCAAATCCCAAACACCGACCGGGCGAAACCACCGACCTTTTGCATCGGTTTCTCAGCCCGGCGCACAGCCCGCAGGGCGCGGAACGGAAGACGAAGCATCTGGGTGGCCCTGCCATTGTGGTCCTTCAAAATGTGTTTGGAGCGAACCATACTCTGCCAATACCTGTGGCGCTATCTGCGGTGGGTGGTGGGAGTTGGCCCGACCTGAGACTCGAAGGTGACCCGTTTACAAATGGAAATCACCTGGTCCTGTTGGCTCAGTTTTCCAAGAGGCACGATTGCTGGTGCTGGTTCCTGGTGTAAAGGCATCCGAAGCACTAATTTAGGCGTGCAAGTCGAAGAATTATTTTAAATTACTTTAAGGTCAACCTAGCACCGAATGCCATAGTAGTGGCGAGCAGCTGCTAGAGCCCGAGCTGGAGGGGTTCATTCTGATCCATAAATCACGACTCACAAAAGGTCTTGGCAGGCTGCTTCAAGCATTGGGCCGGAGCGAAGGCTTAGGCTTTCAGCACTCAACCCAAGCAAACCTGGAGGAGCTTGTAGAAAGTCGACAGCTTGATTATGCTTGACTTGCATCGGCATGAACATTGGAGCAATGTGAGTGAAACAAGAAGAATCCATTTCGCAAGCAAATCAAGCTGCATCAAGCTGGACTTGCTCCAACCAAGCACAAGGTCTTCATAAAGAGCCATCCACGGCCTCAAGTGGTGCAAAAAAAGGCATCACAAAGGCTCGTAGGCCTATCATTCGATTCACTTGTCTGGCCGAGTAATTCGGTAGGGGGCATAATGCTCTTCCATGTTCGGCCAAACAATTTGAGCGAATGAGGTTTGGGAGGTATGTTCAATGGAGAGCTAGAATTCCTTGGACTTAAGTCATCATGCTTCCATGAAGGCGCCAAAGTTGGCGGATTTGAAATGAGATTTGAAGAACTATGCCAGTTGCTTGGCCGGCGAGTTGGCTGCAAATATTGACCTGCATTGGTTTCAACCCAACATGCTCCTCGTCAGATCACATAGCATGATTTTCCTTACCATGTGCCCCACTGCCCTCAAGGAGCATACGGAGCCTCAAGGAATATCTTTGATGCGGATCAACATTCTTCTGCTCCCTCGCCCAGCAGGTTCAACCAGATTCATACCATTAGGAGCGAAAGAGGTGCATGGTCACCATGGGATGGAATTCCACGCGTCTTTCGTCCAGGTCTTCCTTGCATGGCGGATGGATGGCTTCAGGGTCGTCAGGTGTGATAGCCCAGGTACGGCATGGCACCTGAACCAACTTGCGCTAGCTCAGAGAAAGCCTTGAAGTGCATGGACACAAAAACAAAACAAAAACACCATATATAAATGATAAATAAGTGAATTAATATATTAACACGTTTTAAAGTCAATTCTTGCTTGGCTGTTGGAGCTCGGCTAAAAGATCCTGAGGTGCTCACAGGCAGGTGGCTATGATGGCTTCTCTTCACATCCGGACCTGGATCAGCAAGGCATCTGACACGAATGTCCTGGCAAAGTTCAACGGTCTCACCGCGTTTTTGAGATGTCTTGATGAATCCTACTACGCCTACTGCAGTGCCCCAGAATGGATCCGAAATTATTTGACCCGTGGACCATCTTCCTCTAAGACTCTGTGTTTGGGGGGATGCATGACTGGATGCAGGAGTCATCCGCCGGAGGATATCTGCTTCACCTTTCTAAGCTTTTGGTCATCGAATCACCATCACATCTGGGACCTAATCCCGTCCTTCATCCCTGGCACATCTTTGAGCCCTTTGCTCGAAGGTCGCATCGTCACCGAGCATCGCTCAGGCTCAAAATCCTCCAAGCAATCAGTCAGATGAAAAAACTCTCAAATGAAAAGAATCAGAACAACATCTCAGCTTCTCACATCTTTAATGTCCATTGTCCATCTTCTATTTCTTTACAGCTCTCTCTCTCTCTCTACTTGCAAGAGTTCCCATGTGTGGTTCTTCCTCCAAATCTTCAAGCTCTGGCAGATCTGCGCCGGGTGTGGTACTAGTATCGCTGATCCCACGACCAAAGCCAGTGTCTTTCTGCAACAGCTGGTCCTGCACAACACAACCAACGACACCTCGAAAGGAAACACAGGAACTACTCTAAGGAGCAAAAATCACTGGACCTTGCCAATCTTGAAAAAAATGAAAAACATCCATTTGCTCAACCTTAAAGAAGGAGCCTCGAAATCATCGCGAGCGAGCTCTGTGTTGTAGGACATGGCTTCGCACCGATTTCAGCGAGAAAACAGCAACAGTCCAGGCTTCGAACAACTCACCCCCCAAGTTTGAGAAAAAGGCTGTGGAGAAAGGATCAAGGCTCATTGCGGAAGCCAGTGTTTCCAAACTCTATGAAGCAGGAATCAGAAGTCTCTATGTAGTAGGATGAACAAAGAATACGAGGCATTGCGCGCCCAAGTCTTCTCGAACTCTCTTCAGGGTGGCTCAGTTTTATATGTTTTCTCACAAGAGGCAATGGCTGGTTCGGGTTTCTGGTGCCGAAATACATGTACAGTAAAAGCATGGAGGCATTTCTAAGCACTAACTTAGGTGTGCGAGTCGACTAGTGACTAATGTTTTTGATGTTACATAGCAACACTGATGATCACAAACGCCATTTTGAAAATACTGGCGAGCAGCTCTGGCCAGATCCTGAGCTTTGGAAGTATTTGACCCAACACCCTGATCCAACCTCTCAGCTTGGAGTTATGATCCATCCCTTTTCCGCAGATTCATTCATATGATTCATCTGACCTTGTCCTTTTGGCACACTGAAGATTCATCTGGGCTTCAGCAAATCCATCTTGACCTCTTTGAGGATCGGCTCGCCACAAGTCTCACATCGAGACCGGTTTGGTTCTGTGTTGTTCGGAACGCTTCGGATGCGTCCTCTTCTTTACGTCGGCTCCTTTTTTCGGGCTCCGAACTGGGCCAAAGATTCAATGAATCAGGTCCAATGATCTCCAACTCCTTCCCGTGGTGGGTGTTCGGTCACCGCACCTGTAAGGGGCGCGTTGACGCATATGTTCAGCTTTCGTGGCTTTGACGTCACTCATACTTGCGAACATAATGGATGCTACGTCATAGATGCGGTGGGGTGCGGTGGGGTGGGGTTCTCCTGACGTCACTTGTACTTGCAAACATACTTGTACTTCGCTTCGATTCGCTTGGGAACGTAAAAAGGAGTCCTTCTGAAACTTTAGGTCACAAACGTGGGAATTAACACTTGCAAGAAACGACACGGTCCAAAAACTTAAAAAAACCGCACGACCCCTTAGGGGCGCAGTTGCCTTTTTTGGCTGAAGACCACCAGCTCGGCAGAGCGGAGACATCGGGAAGAACCTGATGCTGCCCCTACTCCTGCCTGGGCAAGAATCCAGAACTCACATCTAGAACTCGCAAGAAATCCGCTCGTTGCCATCCATAGGTCTGAGAAACTTCCTGCCCAGCTCCCCATCTGCATCCCGATGTTGTTCCAAAACCCTTCTTCTTCGCCCCTTCTTCTTTGCCCTACCCAAAGCTAACGCAGATACGACTCAATCCTCTCCTGTGGCAAAAGATGTCCTTTTCACTTTTGACTCAACGCTTCGTCAACCTTCCACCTGGCCCCATTGTGAGCGCTTCGAAAAATCACGAGCTTCTTCCGCCGTTATCCGCCGTCGCTTATCCGCGCACGTGAGCGTGAGGCCATGGATGGGATTCATGGCTAAGGCCCAGGCCTCAGGGATGCTCGAGTTTTGAGGATCTTGAGAGGCTCATGTGTCCCCGCGCTAGTATGTGGCATGGTCGGGGTGAATGCCCAAAAAATATGTTATTACCATGAATGCCCCCCTTTTTTTTGCGTTAGGAGCTTGTTGCTTTCTATGTTTGTTTCATCCCCAATTATCCAATACATTGGAGAGGTTCATACGAGTAGGGATGCAACACTCAAATTGAGCAGCAATTATACGGAGATGAGATGTGGGGAGCTTAGCATTCGGTGGGATGCGACGCTCTGCCCGAATCAGGACCTAATTCGGACAGTGACATGTTCTTCAGATATACTTTATCTTCGAATTGTATCGAATTGTGTTTATACTTCTGCCACATGTTCCCCAAGAGGTGGTTTAGAATGACCCCCATATAAAGGACATCTTTGGGTTTGTGCCATCTACCCTGAAACCACTGTATATAATATATATATATGATTATGAAACCGTGCTAATCATATCAGTGGCAATAGTTCAAACGCAGGCATTATACAAGTCGCGTTTGGAAGATGACAAAAGAGTTGTCAACATTAGATCACCATCCCAGCTATATAGATCGAATTGGGAAAGGGAAGACCCCTGTGTTGAGCCAACGTGTCTCTCAAAGGTCCAAATTCTGCTCTCGAGGTCTTCTACAGCTCCCTTTGCTTGCTTGGAAAAAGACTAGCACTGAGTCCCCGCGCGGTCCACCACATGACCCGCCGCAGCCAGAGGGAGAGCCAAACATCTTGGACTAACGCCTGGCCGCCAAAGTCGCGAACGCGCAGGTGCCGCGGAGAAGGGGAGGTAAAAACCGGGCCGCAAATTCAGGTCCTTTCGAAGGTGGTTCTCCACCGACCATCGGTGGTTCTCCACTAACCATGGGCCTTCGAATCGGACGTAGCCCGATTCACCACCGAGGTCACACACCCAACGTGGCGAGAGTGGAATACACACCCTCTCAAGCGTTGTCTGGATCAAGCTAATCAAGCAAATCAAGTGCTTGCAGAAGAGTGGCAAGAAGGTCAACAACAAGATCGAACATTCGGAGGTGCAAGTGAACGCCATGTCTGGTTGTTGAACCACCCAGAGTTTCAGGCTTGTTGAAAAAGATCAACGAGCAAAGTATCGGAGGTGATTGATGATGTTTTCAGGATTTTGTCGTTAGCTGTCGTTAGTTGTATCCCATTACCAGTAACAGTGTTTGATGAGAGTTAACAAAGGCTACTTTTGTCATTTTCAAACATATAGTGATAATAACTCTCCGACTGTTGCTGGGACATACTGGGACGCACCCAGTGCAGGTCGGATTTTTGAGCACTGCAACAGCTAAAGCAACGAATCCCACAGTGCAGGCACAGTGCAGGTTCCTACCTTCACATAGTTTCTGAATCCCATAGTTTCTGAATACAACGAAACGGTTTCTAAAGACTCCAACAAGGTTGAAGAACCCTATAGACTATCCCATAGGTACCCCAGTAGGTCCTATATGATCGCTTAACCTCTCTTGGTCGTTTCTCTTCCACTTAACTTACAGCCTGCCGAGCTCGAGCCTTGAAGACCTCGCACGCGCTTTTGGGAGAGCCTCCATCAAAATTAACTTCATGCGGCTTGAGGCGTGGTGAGGTTACACAAAGAATCAGATCTATATATTACAAACATATAAACCTGTATAACATCCGTGTATATATATACACATGTTGGCCTATGGTTTCTGGATGCTCCTGGAGATTGAAACCTTAGTCGATGTCCAGGACAAAAAGAGATAGCAATTATATGTGATACCTAGTGTAGCTGCGGCTCCGGTACTATCGGGCTGCTGAAGTCTGAGATATGCGGCTAAGGTACATCGAGCTGCAGTCGGGCTCCGTGGCAGCAGGTGTTCTTCCTTGACCGGCCCACGTCTCCAGGAGAAGGATTTCCACGATATACGGGTTTTAAATATGCACTGCCGTCTAGGTGAATGAGTTCGGGACCTGCAATGGGGCCAAAGTTAATGATTATAATAATTAAGCAAACATGTTGCTGAGTCTGAGAAACATACGAGCATAGCATACACCTGGGTTTGCTACTCGCATGGACTGGATCAAAGGCTTCCCCGGAATCAGCTGTATGTAATTATATGTATACATATATACTGTCCATGTCAAAACATGCCACATCGTGCTTCAAAAGCACAGAAGACGTTCATTCTATAAGTCTATCGTACGTTCGTTCTTGCAGGGATGGTGTGCTGTGATGCGTCACGTGCCTGCTGTCTCCTCTTCAAACAAAAAAACACCGCAAACAGCGATGCTGGAGACAGCGCAAGGTGGTCTGACATGCAAGGATCCTAGACCACCTTGGATCAGAGATGGCCAATCACTGATTCTGGCGACGTGAAGTTTCTGACTATCACGGATGATGCCTTCAATGACTGTTTTGTGTTGTCAACGTAGGACGTGACAGGCCCAAAGACCCCCCCACATTGCAGAAACTCTTCTGGTTGGTGGTTTCAACGCATTTGACAAATAGTACTGTAGTCATTGGGCTCAATCATCCCCAAGTATATAAAAGGTTGAAAAAGAGATCAGCCTTAGGCCCTTTGGGAGTACCATTGAACTTCCTCGGTCCGTTGACTACTCTGGGCTTTCGGCCAAAGTATTGGAGATCGCCTCAAGACACAAAATTGGGTTTTGGAACTGAGCTAGGCTATGCCGTCCAACAGGCAAAGATTTGCCGTGCTTGTTCAGAAGCAGCTTCAAATGGGAACCCCCAAGAACAGGTCAATGTCACTGGTCTGCTTTCACCATCTCTCGGAACCAGACCCACTTCGATCCATCCCAAGCCCCACTTGTTCATCCATTTCGGGCCAGAAGACCCCGGACTCCACCCGGAATTCTGAAATGGACTCTTTCAGCGTTGTTTCAGAGCTTTTTGAAGCTTGGGTGGCACTGGGATGTTCAGACAAACAGGCTGCAGGACCCCCCCGGCCAAATATCGAAAAGCACCGTGCGAAGAACCCAAAGACCAGCGCACTGATTGACAAATCGATGAGCCTCCCACCACCGCGAAGCGATGACCAAAAGACCCAGAAACGATCAGAAACGGCTCTTTTGGGGTCAAGCCACTTTGCCGACTTGCGAGACTTGATTCGCTCAAGCCACTGCCACCCATCCCGGCGGTGGAAGGTGTGCGTGTGTGTTCGGTTCATATTTTTCCCGAATGCGAGGCGAAGGGTTTTCGTTTAACTCTGGGGGTCTTGGGGTCTGGGGGTAGCGTAGAGCCTTGTTCGCGACTCGTTGTCGTAGCCTTCGCAACCGTTGTCAACTGTCCGCAAGCGTCTGCGGTAGGGCGCTATGGCGCTGACATTGGGCGAAGCTTTTGGAGAGTGTTTTAGATGGAAGCATGACGTGTCAGATTCGTGTGAAATGACACCTGAGTACGTGAGTGTCGTACGCGAGTGTCCCACAAGAGTGTCCCGCAAGAGTGTTGCACAAGAGTAATTACGAGTGTCCCACAAGAGTGTCCTGCAAAGTGACGAAAGTGTCGCACGAGAGTGTCCCACAGCGTTCTCTAAGAGTGTCTCCTATACAAGTGTCAAAAAATGTTTGGGCGATTGTTTTCGAGTACGTGTTGCATTCGGGTTTGTGGGCATTTTGTATGTTCTTTTAGGCGTCGGAATCCTTGTCGATCCTTTTCGGAGATCTCCGAAAAAAGAAGCCTGAAGTAGCCAAACAGATCCAAACATCCTTTGTCAGACACTCACAGTCTCACACCACCTCCAAGTTGCAAGATCCCCCCAACGCCAAGCGCAGGATTGCGCCATGTTCGGTCAACATACACCGAATTTCGGCCATGGAGAGTGACATGCTGATCAACTAGACGGTCCAACTTCCATGTTCTTTCTGATACACAGTCCAAACATCCCGAGACACGGGTAATATCCCCAAACAAAACGTTTAACCAATGTTGGGAAGTGCCTACAACTTGATGCTTCCTTCCCATCTAGGCAACCCCGCAGAAGCGGTTGGCGTGGCGACAGAGGCCCTGGAGATTGGCTAGCATCACGTGGACAGAACCAAAGGCGGTGTCAATTGTGGTGTTTGGAGCCAAACAACCAAGGATAAGGCGGATCAGGCCCGAATCATGTGGCATGGTCACATTCAAGGTCCACTTTGAGAAGAAGACTGACCACCAGCGGCTGGTGCGACCTACCAGCATATCACATCCATGTTTGTTCTATGACCCTTAGGCATGAGGTGGCAAATGCATTCGGGCTGCAACACCTAACCTCTTCTGTAGACTTCTACCTCCGGCTCCCAGGGCTCGGAGTCGGCGTGGCGTCTCCGTGCGGGTTCCCCGCGCCGTGGCACCGGGAGACAGGCTGCACACATCAGCGAAAGGACCTGACCGCAGGTCGGGGCCGTCAGCGAAGACCACGGAGGTCATGGCCACCCTGGGTTTTCATGACTGAACGCACCACGATCCCACTGTTACATCAAGTTTCCATTGAAATTCACTGCCCCCCCCAAATGGCAAATATATATATCTTCACGAAACAAAATGGCTGTGGGTCAAAACCCGAAGCCCTAAATCCTGGTAGGCTGACCTCCATGCAGGTAGTCCATTTTGTTCACACGCAGACAATCCAGTCGAGTAGGAAAGTCGCATCCACGACTCACAGATCAGTGAATGCCCAAAGACTCAATTAAAAGGAGAGCTACAGAAAGCGTTCCACAGGGAACGACCACGAATCAGCCGAGCGGCCGGCCCCACCAGCCAGCACCCGGCAAAATTTGAAAAGTTCGCCAGGGGCGAAAAAAGGAAGGGCGCCAACAAGTGCACCCTGAGGCAACACTTTGCCAATACATTTAGTTGCCCTGGCAGTTGGGGTCCCAGGAAAGGCATTGCGCGTTTTTGAAAGCACAACGCAACATCGGCGAAGCTTAAGAACAAGTTCTTGAAAATGTTCTTCGCGGCATCCAAAATGGTGCCCTCTTGCGACAAAAAGAAACGCCAATTCTTGATATGTGCACATCACCTGGTCATCTAGCAGCCACTTAAGCGACTTTCCAAAGCTGACAAACACCTGCCAATCAGAGGCAGAGAGATCAAGTTTGGAGGGACAAATTGGATCCTCAGGCGTCCATGAGAAGGAAAAGTCAGTCTCACTGTAGTGCCAAGCAAAGCCAGGGTAAGTCGTACGAAAGTCAATCTCAGAGACAGCACATTGTCGCATTGGCATGTCTGTAAATGTATCGGAACATTCAAAGCCAATATAGCGATTCAAGTCCGTGAGAATTCGTTGCTTTTGTAAAATTGCCGCATGGAGCATACCTTTATCCGCTGCTGCGACAGTACAGCGAGAATGGGCAAACCTTTTGGCAACTGTGTCTGCAAGCCGATTGAGTTCGATATGCTTCCTGGTAGTACCTGCCGCTTGGATCACAGAGGCAGGTATTGCAGAAACCGGAAGATCATCACCAACATGCGAAGGGATCCACGTCAAAAGCAGTGCTGGCCCACAAGTCAACTGATTCCTGGTGTCAACGACCTTGTGCAGCACTTTCCACCATTCAATGTGCAAGCAATTCGCAGGAATATTGCCTGTTTGGGCCAAATGATTGACCTGGTTAACAACTTCCTTGCAGTCACTATAAATATGTAGCTTGCTATCAGCCATCAATGTAGCGACGATAACTGCCCATAACTCCGCAGTGTAGGAAGAAAGGCACAGATGGGAAACGGTTCCGGCTGCAAAAATGCTTCCTTCCTCATCAATGACAGCAAAACCAGCTGCTGTGAGTGGGAAAACCTCACCCCAAAGCACGGAGCCATCAGACCACAAAGACTGAGTGTAATCAGGTCGAAGGAGGGCCTGAACAGCAAGTGCATCGGCCCGGTCAACATGGAGACGATGGCGAAGAATGGCCAATGGGTGTTCAACGATGCCCAGTTGGTGAAAATTCGGTCCAAGCTCGTGGCCAGGTCCAGCAGGAAACTGCAACCTTGCTTGAGGACACTGCAAGATGTGCACAAGTGATTCTTTAACAGTTTCACAAAAACGGCACAATGGAGAATCCGCAAATTTGGCTGCAAATCTACGATCATTTGTGATGGTACACCCAACAAGCTGAGCTTCAAAGTGAGCAAGCAACGGGGGTGAAAGCGAGTCACGAACTCCCTTCTGGGTCCCATAGAGCTTGGAGTGGAACAGGTCAACAAAACCAGTTGGTTTAAAAAAGTCCTTACGATTCAAGTTGGCCGAATGGACGTAATGCATCTGGACAGCAAGTTGTTTCAATAACGGTGCAAGGTCCCGAACCGACAGGTCTCCAAAACCGAGATTTATGTGACCAAAAAGATTCAACTGGAACTGATCCATCAATGGTAATACCAAAGGCCTGACAAGCCTGACGAAGGCCTACAAGGAGGGAAAATCTACTTTGTTTAGGCTGAAGTGCCAGCCGTCGGCATCTAGCAAGTGTATCAGGGTTATGATGCACAAAGCGCAAGAAGTCAACGATGGCACAAAAGGCCCTGGCCAGATAGGGGTCAACACGATGCGGCGGAGCAAGGAAGCCAAGAACCAAATGCTTAGCCCGCCAGTGCGGTCGATTGCCCCACAAGACTTGAGTGATTTCTGCCTGGATCTTATCAAGGGCAACTTTAGGAACCTTAGTCAAATGGGAGGCAAAGCTGCATTGAGGAATCACTTTAGCACCCAGGAGTTGTGCCTTGATCTTACGAGGCAAGGGAAGGGCCCCAATGTTGCGAATGTCGAGAATGATCTTATGGGTCTTATCTTCAGGGAAATCAAAAGCGATGCGCTGAGAAGTGTAAATCTTGGAACCAAGCACATCAATAGTTTCCTGAAGCATAAAATCAGGAAAAGACAAACGAACACATTGCCGTCCAGTCGAATTCGAGGCCCAAGCCACAGATTTACCAGCATTAAGCTTCTGACCGACAAGGACATCCCAGAGTCTAGTGACTTCAATGGCAATTTGGAGGTTGGCAACATGCTGGATTTTTGCCCATAAATAAATGTCATCGATGTAAATGCGACAGGAAAGGTGAGGGATGTCTTTCACGAAAGCAACCCACGAGAACATGTAGGCATTGATAGCAATCAATGAGAAAGAACAACCCTGGGCAACACTATTTGGGGAAGTGGTGGGAGTGGGGGCAGTCCAACCTCGATAAGATAAGTGTTTACGCAACCCTGCATATTGACGAACAAAAATGCTGACCACATGCTGTGGACATCCAATGGCAAGCAAAATAATGGCGACAAAGGCAGGAATAATGCGATCAAAACACTTACTTTTATCGAGTTTGAGACCAGCAACAGTGTCACCTCGCATCTCAGCTTCATCAAGGTCGAGTCTCAGGGTGGCAGGAATATCCGTCATATGCCGACCAGCAATACCTCCAACGATAGAGGGTGGCATAATTGACGACTGCCATTCCTTAGCTTGGCGAAAGCGCGCACCCGTGTAGGCGAGCAATAGGGGCGGCAAGATGGTAATCAGCCTCTTGTTAATGGGGGAGGAGGGCCCCGGCTTATTGAGGATAACTAACTTGGCCTCTGTCAGCGCTTTCGGAAGCGAATGGTCAACCCTCTGTTCAAGCCGGCGAAAAAAAGGCTGCAATCAGTTCACACAGATCAAGAGGGAATCTTTGCAATTCAGTGGTTCGCCAACCATCAAGCCCAGGCGCAGCATTTGGGTGGCGCCGTTGAAGAGTCTCAAAGATATCGAGCCCAGTGAGAGCTGGCGGAGTCCATGGCTTATTTTCACGCGACAAGTAGGGCCAAAGGACCCGCAAGACTTCAATAGGATCGTCGTGACCTACATTAGCAGCAAAAATATCGTCCCATTGGTCATTGATGGCAGCAATGGCTTTATCAGGTTGATAGATTATATGCCCACAAGCATCAGTCACGAGATTGTTGGGCTGATCCTGTGCTTTATTCTTGAGGTGATGAAAGAGGTAGGCACGATCGGAAGAGGCTGAGTGCTGAATCTTTTCCTTCCACGCACGTATTCTGGCTGACTTCAAACTGCTCTCTGTTTGTGCGATCTCAACTTGAAGCCAAAGGTGGCATTCATGCAAAATCAACAGGTTCGGGCAGCGACAGTCTCGAAAGTCGAAGGGGGCTTTAAGATTGTGCAAAAGCCTGGTGAGCTTGGTCAGGGCATTATGCAGTATATCACACTCTTGGTCCGAGAGTCTACTCTTAGCAACCTTAGCTTGAATGTCAAAAACTTTGGCACGGGCATTGTAAAGCCAGGAAAGACGAAGGGTCGTGGCCGACCCAGAAATCCGTTGCCCAGGACAATATTGCTTGGATCTGAAGACTGGAGCGACAGCACGTTTATGTAAACCAGGCTTCCATGAGGCACCAGCCTCCAGGAGTGTAGCGACTGCAAACTGGTTAATATCACCCCATAAAGCATCAGGGGAAGAACTGGCAAAGTTAACATCGAGGTTCATGTCCCACCGATCTGAGTTCGGCTGATAGTCCTTGGGGCAGGAGGGTTTATCCACTTGGGAGATGTCAAGTGGGGCAAACTTAACATGTATAGGTCCAACATGGAAAATGTTGTCCCAGTGAAAATCGCACGAACCGGACGATGTTGCTTGGAGAACCAGTCAACCGTAGAAATTTCTTTCAGACAAGAAAAAGCAACTTGGATCAACAGGATCCCGTCAATGGAGGAGCAATGTTCACCAAAGGCCGTGAAAGTGCAATCGCGGCTGTAAGTGATCGGCCGATCGAGGGATCCATCTTCAAGGTGGGTTGAAAGAGGATCAAACCAATTGGCAAAATGGGTCGCAGCCGCGACAGAAGGGTATTGCATTGGTGGGAGCTGGAAATCCCCTACCAGCAAAACCGGAATATTGCCGAATTGAGCGGCGACCTGAAAAACATCGGCAAGAAGGCGATCATTAAAGTGCAGGATTTCATGATCGGCGGAGGCACCCGACTTAGCATAAATATTAAAGATCAAGATCCTTAACGTGGGCTATATCTGGTGCCAGACAGCTTGGACCCGCTTAGAGTGAAAGAGGCCTCTGAACAGCCCTGTGGTGTCCTGACTCTCCTCAAATGGAGAGGTGGTAGTACTAGGGGCGAGGAGGGCGACACCACCATGTGAGGTAGAACCACTCCCGTCCGACCTGAACAAACCCGGAAGCAGGTCACCAAGGATCAAGTTCTTACCTGCGGCCAACGCCGATTTGGTGGCATTACGGAAATTGTTGCGGCCAATACGGGTTTCCTGGAGGCAGACCACACAATCATGCCAGCCTTTCCAGGTGTTATCTTTAAAGAAGCTCCCAACGTTCGAGGAAAGGATGGACCACGGATGGTCAGGGCCTTCTCCGGGAAAACCCAAGG